CTAGTCCCTATATTATATCTCCTGCTCTGTCAGTTATATCTTCCACCTGTGCCCCTGGGTAGCATAATCTGATTCTTTTCTACATATTTACCCCTATATACATTTTTGAGAAGATTCAAATTTATAACAATACCTTTAAGTGAGAGATTTTATACCAATGTCTGGAAATGATATGCAAAACTTAGAATAACCTTTGAATTGTTTTGCAAAGCGTCATGTCCATAGCACAATAGCAGTAACACTAACACTGACGTTTCTGAATTATCTATGGACCAGAGATCGACTGCGAAACTCATATTAATGCAGAAATGACAACATTAATTTTTAATTAGCCTCTCTCCTGGTATAGACTGTAAGACCTTTTTTGAAGCGAGTTATTCATATTTCAAAATCTATTCTTTTAATTTTTAATACTAAATATTGTGTGTGTCATTTTATGTTTATCAGTAGTCTTCACAGCACCTATAGGCTATATGCCTTTAACAATTATTTTATGATAAAAGTTGCCTTTCAGCTTTAATCTTACGTGTTTTGAATAAATTACAAACCCCAAAATAACTTTCTAAATATACCAATAATTATCTTCAAGAGAGATTTGAAAATGTGATAATTCAGAAACACTTCAGAGGTATAATAAATGGCATGTCTAAATTTGTAATTTCTACCCATTTGGGTGTAACACTTTGCATTTATAATTTCTGCAAGAAATCTATAACAATCACACTTTCACATATGCAACACATTTTAACAACCTTTTTTAATTTTGGCAACTGGAGTTGTTGTTTTTTATATAATTTCACATAGGCCAATTAATTTACTTAACATGAAATTCTAGAGATCCAAAGAAAGTTAAAGTTTATGTAAATTTTGTAATTAAAGACAGTAACTAAAAATATCAATAACAAAATATCAAAAACCTGAATGCAAATGTTATTTCTTTTCATTGTGGCTTTATATACTAGAGTATGCCTAGAATAACTTGATAAGATCAATAACTAAACTCATTCAAAGATACTTGTGTGAAAACATTCTGGATAAATTTCCTAAAATACATTTCCTTATTCTAAAGTTAGATTTTCCATTTCTAATAACTATGTCATTTTCAAGAGAAAAAGTGTACTGAGAATGAAAAATTGCACTGATATGGGCCAGTTTTAGTGTAATCAAGTTTTTGCAATTAAAATTTTTAATTCAAAAATGTTGACAATCATTTATATGTATATATATATATATATATATATATTGTTACGTATCTGCTTGTTTGATAATTTCCCTTAAAAATTCTCTCGGAGTGACTACAGCGATACATCAGGTCCCTTCTTGATTAAAACTAGTTTATTCTTTCTCAAACTTTGTAATACACTTAATTTCCACAGTCACTTTAAACTTAACAACCTTTATAACACATACTATAAATCACAGTGATTCACACACTTTACTTACGGTGCTTACTGTTCGCTTGACTCAATTATCTATATTTTCAGTCTATCTGCATACCTATCTATTGCTGGCTTATATACTAAAAAAGAGGGCATCTATCAAACACTGGGACATCGCGAGGATCCCCGATAAGTCATCATCCTTCTAGAAACTCCAGTGTGCATTCTCCCAGCGTCGCGTGACTTCCGCTGTCGTAACACTGCCCCTTACTTAGTATTGTTCGTCCCGAACAATAGCC